TTAAAAAACTATTGAATTTGAGATTAAAAACACTTAAGACCTAGCCCCGGAGCATCGCCCGGGTCTAAGAGCTAGTACGCAATTAATATGACGCAAATTTGTGTACGTACAGATTATATATAGTCATATGGCGCCAATTTTATAAACTACGTATATAATAAATTGTACAAAATTTCTAAACTCTAACTGCTTATAACTTAATATTTAAGCATTTAAAAAAATAAATATAATAGGGTTATTTGAAAATAATAATAAAATTTTAAATTCAGATTTTAAAAAAGTAAACCTAATTTGATGAGAAGTGACTTGGTCCACCATATAATTCTTACAATATATGTCATGAAGGTCATATAGGTCATCAGCCAAACTAGGCGATGATTTTCTGCGGTGATACTATGGATTCAGACTTATGATGTCACCTAGGTACGCCGTAACATCGAGTCGTATCTAGTGTTACAAATTCAAAGTTGAAACAATCAATTAGTTGGTTAGTTGACAATTAATCGATTGAACTTTTTAGACACCAACTAAATCGATTAATCAATTATTGCGGTTTGCAAAATTATGTGATCAATAAAAAAACAATTAATCACTAATTTCCGATTACAGATTTCCGATTTCCTCAACATTTTTTTTTTTTGACTTTTAGACTAGACAAAATTTGCGCATTCATCATTTGTAAAAATTTGATTGGATATTTTAATGCGCAACTCCTATTTTTGCAAATATATTACAAAATTATGAATATGCAATTTTATTTCTATAAAAAAATAATAAAATTTTTACAAAATAATAGATACGCAAATTTTGTCTAATCTATAAGTCAAAAAAAAATGTTGAAGAAATCGGAAATCAGTAATCAGAAATTAGTGATTACTTTTTTTTTTATAATAATGATCCTCAAATTTTGCCAACCCAATAATCGACCAATTGATTAGTTGCAACTAATCGACTGAAGATTTAATCGATTGGTTGCAAGAAAAATTATTTATTTACTTAATGAATTGGTTCAACTAATTATTAATCGATCAGTTGCAACACAACAATCAATCGATTAGTTACACATCAATTAATCGATTAGTTGCAACCAACTGAAAAATAAATAAACTAATCGATTGAAAATATTTTGTCGATTTGTAACACTACTTAACATCATAACGTTCATTACATATAAAATATTTAGTAAACAAAAAAGGATCTGTATTATAATATTCTACTGATACAATTATTATTGCCCGAAGTATAGTGGAGAATATTTTGCTTCTACTACGAAACTATGCAATATCCACTAACAGTATCCCATTAAAATTGATTGGCTAAATGCCCTGACACATTTTCATATTTATCGCATCAACAAAAAGGTATCATTGGATCAGTTAATATGTACAGTCTAAAAGTAACTTGAGTTATGCAATGTCAATGACTTTTGAATATTCGTGTAACTGATCCAGAAAACTCGACTCCCAGAATCCTGAAGCATTATAGTTAATACCAGCCAGTTTATTGTAGACGTGATCTTTCAGAACTTCAAGAAACCTCCAGATGTAAATTATCTTATTTCATAACCGTTTTAACTACAGGATTGAGTTTGATTCAACTTTGTAAGTTTATTCAAATTAGCAGGAGATCTTATACTCGCCTTTTTTTTCTTGTTTTTTCGCTCTTTATTTTTTTAATAAGACTATTTAACGTTGCAGCATTTTTTGGATCGAGTTCTATTGCTTTTTCGAAATCAGTAAGTGATTTTTCGTAGTTTTCCAACTTATAATAAGTCATTCCACGATCCTTTAATGTACTTGTATTATTTGGTTCGATTTCTATTGATTTATCGAAATCTGCAAGTGACTTTTTATAATTTTTCAACTTATAAGAAGAAAGTCCACGATCCCTTAATGCGCTTGCATTATTTGGCTCGATTTCTAATGATCTATTTAAATCATCAAGTGATTCTTCATATTTACCCATCTCCTGATAAGTTAATCCACGGTTATTTAACGTCGTGGCGTCTTTTGGTTCGATTTCTAGCGACTTATTAAAATCTGAGAGTGACTTGTTATATTCTTCCATCTGACAATAAGTTATTCCACGTTCATTTAATGTAAGAATGTTATTTGGTTCGATTTCTAATGATTTGTTTAAGTTTACAAGTGATTCTTCATACATATTTAAATATCGATAGGTTACTCCACGATTACTTAATGCATCAGCATTATCGGGGTCGATTTTTAATGATTTATTTAAATCTACGAGCGATTCGTCATATCTATCCATTTCTTGATAGGTTAATCCACGATTTTTAAGTGCATCAGCATAATTTGGGTCAATTTCTAATGACTTATTAAAATCTGCGAGTGATTCTTCATATTTGCCCATGTGTTGATACGTTAATCCACGATTATTTAATGTTATGGCATCATTAGGATTAAGTTTTAGTGATTTACTTAAATCTGCAAGTGATTCTTTATATTTTCCCATATATCGATATGTTAACCCACGATCACTTAATATTGTGGCGTTATCCGGACTGTTTTCTAATGCTTTATTTAAATAATCGAGCGATTCCTCGTATCTTCCCATAAATTGGTAGAAAATCCCATTCCCATGACTATTCAAGGCTGTAACATCATTTAGGTCAATTTCTAATAATTCATTTGGATCTTTAGTTGAATCATCATCGCTTATTTCGTAGTAGTTTGGCATCATACCGGGATTTTGCAACTCATTTTTTAATTGATTTATATTCAAATTATCGATTTCTTCTTTAAAGTCAGAAATAATCATATATGATTCTGAATCATTTGAACGAATTAATTCACTAATTTGTGAACTACATGACTTCTGGGAAGCATCTATCTTTTGATTTTCGTAGTTAATTTTTAAATCATTTAATTCCGAAAAAACTTCTTCGATAGTTGGGCGCATACTAGGATTGCCTTGCCAACAATCTTTTATTTAAAAGAAATTTAATATTATTTTTGCGAATTTAGTAAATCACCTAGAAAAATTTCTATACCTGTATAGATTTTTTCATATTCGGGCGGAGTTCCTTCAATAACTTCTTCCCGTATGTCATTCATAATATTCACGATCACTGCTCCAATATAATTTTGCTGAATATCATTGTTAAAAGGGGGATAACCACTAGATATTTCCCAAATAAGAACACCAACACTATATATATCGGATCGTTTATCAAAGCTAAAGCTAAATGGTTCATTTTCATTTCTTTTTCTTTTTTTTGAACCTTTAAAACTCTGTGGATCCACATATGCAATAAGTCCCAAAAATCTTGGATTTGATTTTGTTGCATCATTTAACCTCTTTGAAAGTCCAAAGTCTGCAAGCTTAATATTATTTTGATGGACAAGTATGTTTTTTGAATGCTATTTAAATTATAGAAATAAAAAAAATTAGATTAATACATGACACTGTGTCCAAAGCAAATTATAACCGTACAATAGAAAGTTCTCTGCTTTGCTTCGGACATAAATAATGTTGGTGATAAGCTTTTCTTATTTTGTGGAAATTACCAAATCACGGTGCACAATATCTTCGGCATGCAAACATCTAATTGCGCTGGCGATCTGCCAGGCGAGATTAATCTTAATTTCCCAGGTAAGATGTTTAAAGTTTTTTTGCAGATAGGATCTTAAAGTTCCATTATCAGCATATTCAAGAACAAGCATGTAGTTCGTAAGGCACGAATTTGTTCCCTCTATAATTATACAAATTAATAAATGTGTGTATGCTATTATCGATTGTAAGTAACTAAAAAGATAAATATGACAATAAGTAAATTAAACGTGTATCTCTACCCTCTTTTCTAGTAACACCATGTAGGCGAATAATATTAGAATGTATGTTTACTTTACGATGTAATTTAAGCTATATAATTTATATTTTTAATTTTATTATGAATATAAAATCTTATTATGACAAATAAAAAATTACCTCATTAACAACTTCTTTAATAGTCACAGTATCTTTATTATCTTTAAATAATTTTAGCGCGACAGTAGCTTTATAATTCCCAAGAACAGCACGGAAAATTTCCCCATATCCTCCGCCTCCAATACGTTCAATGTCCTTAAAAAGAGAATAATCGTAAATTTCAATTTTTTCCTCATTAATACATTTTTGAATTAAATCGTCACGTTCAGACTGATCCATAATCCAAAGATTTCTAAGCTTTGTTCATTAAATACAGGGCTTCGATTTTGGGGCACTTGCATAAAAATTTCTACGTAACTATGCATGTGTAACATATGATTCGATTAATGGTTTAATCTTACAAAGTTAGTGTGTATGTATACATAAATTTCCCGATGGTCATTTCCCAGAAAAGCCATTTAACCGACATCACACTGCGTGAAAATTCACTAACAAAATATAATTGCAACTAACAAAATACTAAATTATCACTCTGTATTAATGAAATTACCGTCGGGAAGTCCATCAGCATATTGTACGAATTTTTCGATATAGATAAAACACAGTTACATATGTTCCAATTACAGCAAGGATAATACAGGTTTATGTCAGGGTCGAATTCGTACAGTATCCTCCAAAAGTTTATCACGGTTACACGAAAAAAACTTAATTTTATGCAAATGTATCGGTATAATATACGCAAATTGTGAAAATATCTGGAAGATAATGTTCAGCAACGAAGACCACAACCAAGAACATATGGAGCGTTGAAAACAGCACTTTTAGAGGAATGGAATATGCTTGATCATCAAGTTTCGTGAACTTAATAAATAATACTGCTGATATATACGTATCCCCATATTGTAATATATTAATTTGCGTAACGTACGTACGTATGTAATAATAATATATTACTAAATTTGCATATTTACAAATTTTGTTGTTTTTTATTTACATTAATTATTGCGTTACAAAAATTTTGCCAGCATTATTAGACTTTGTGTGCCAGCTCTATAAAAGTTCTGGACAACGTTATTTACATATCAAAAATTACATTCTATCAAAAATTTACACGCAAATTTCCACCCTATATACTGATATATCCCCATATCCCTATATATAAAAAACATATGCATTATATATGATACTTTTCTACGATAATTTTAACATTATAAATGTCGACACGTTCAATATTACTAAATCTGTGTGAAAACATATATATTTCAAATTACAATGTAATGTATCGATCATGTCTGAATTCAATAACTTAACCGGATCAGCCAAAAAACCATTCGGCAAATTTTTATCAGGTGTTTCATGAATTATGAAAACAGCTGTAATTATATATCCGGATTTAATTATGTATTCAGGTTTACAGTTGTTCTCATAAACTGATAAAAATTAATTTCGGCCAAATTCGATAAGTTTTTGAATTCGGTATTATCGGCATTGGATTTTCGTCATTGGATTTTCGGCATTACAGTAATTCCGATAACATAGAATTCAAAAACTTATCGAGTTCGGCCGAATGATCATCGATCAATTTTATCGTTGTATCAGAATTTATGAGAACAGCTGTAAATTTATATCCGGATTTGTATTTATATCCGGATTATAATTATATCCGGATTGATATTATCTAAAAATTGGATCCGTATTTATTTAAAATTCGGATTACAGAACGCCTGGCAAAAAATTGGCCGACCGAATATTTGTCGATTCAATAAGTTTGTGATTTCGGTAATGATGTTGCCGAATCTGAACTTATCGAATCAGTAAATATTCGGTCGGTCAATTCTTTGCAAGACATTTCAGAATTTATGAAAACAGTTGTAATTCGGATTTATTTATCAATCCGGATTGAGATGCTAACTCTAGCATAGCATTAACCGGGTATAGCGGGTAAAATTTTATACCTGGGTATACCCATCGATCACCCGGGTAACCCGGGGTATACCCGTCGGTTAACCGGGTAACGTTTTTTTGCCGAGTACAATCACTAGCTGTATAATTAAAAACTTCATACAGAAGAGATTCAAAAAACCAAAACTTTATTGAATGAAAGCAATATTTCTAGTTATCTTCACTATACAGCACAGCAGTATAATTTTGCATATTTCAAGAGACAATAGCATATTTTGTCTTCTGAACAAAATCTATCAGGAATGGGGTCATTTTAAGGTTCTTTTTGCATAGTGAATATTGACTGCTACAGTATCTGACAAAAGTTTTCCCACACCTATATCTTCTCATAGAGAGGTGCTATGGCCTTGAAACTTTCAAAAATATTAGTATATATGTGGCTTAGATTGTGTGTTTTTTTAAAAGATTTTTTAATTACTAGAAAAATTTTTAGATAAGAGTTAAAGTTGTGATGTTTTTTAAAAAAAAATGAATAAATTAATTGAATTCAAAGAAAAATTAATATATTATTAAGGCTTAAAGCTAAAAATTCCAAAAATTAAGATATTAAAATTCAATGATTTCTATATTGGTGATAAAAAATTTGGTCTAATTTGATGAGATAATTGTTAAAGTAAAAGGTTTTTAATCAAAGCTATCTCAATATCTAGTGATCTAAATTTAATAATTTTGGTATCATTCAAATTATCTCAATGAAACAATTTGAATAATAGTAAAATCATCAAATTTGAATTATTAGAACATGTGATATTTGTGAAAAATATTATGTAATACAAAAAGAATCAGGTCTCAACAAATTAAAATAAAACTCAAAATTTTAAAATTAATTTCTCAATAATTATCTCATCAAATCGAGTTAAATATTTTGTTACTAATACAGAAATCATTGAAGTTTAATTGATAATCTACTTGTCAACTAGAGAATAGGTAAAATATAGTATCTTCCATCTAAATTTTTTTCTTATTAAGTTAATGATATATGTCCACTAATTGAAAGTTGTAGAGCTCATCAAGACATATTTAACAGTAGTTAGATCATCCAAATCAGTCTAGTAGAAAGTGAGATATCATCAAAAAATAATTGGTTAACTATATAAAAATCTGTGATAGAAATCATATGAAAATTACTATAGGCTGAAATGTGGCGTGCTTCCATCTAAAACTTTTTTCTTACTAAGTTAATGATACATATCTACTAATTAAAAGTTGTAGAGCTCGTTGAGACACATCTAATAGTAATTATATCATTCAAATCGGCCTAGTGAATGGTAAGATATCATCAAAAAATGTTTGGTCAATTATATAAAATCTCTATATAAACAAACAATTGTTTATATAGTTAGCTAATTATTTTTATAATATCTCATTATTTACTAAGCTAATTTGGATGATCTAACCAATGTTAGATGTGTCTTGATGAGCTCCACAACTTTCAATTAGTGGGTATATATTATTAACTTAATAAGAAAAAAAGTTTTAGATAGAAGTACATCACATTTCAGCCTATAGTGATTTTTATATATGATTTCTGTCACAGATTTTTATATAGTCAGCCAATTATTTTTTGATGATATCTTGCTATCTACTAGGCAATTTGGATGATTTAACTACCGTTAGATGCATCTTTGTAAGCTCTACAACTTTTAATTAGTGAATATATATTATTAACTTAGTAAGAAAAAATTTTAGAGGGTGTGGTGACTTAGTGAAGTAGTCAAGTTGTCACCCCCCAAGTGGCAGGTCTAGAGTTCAATTCCTACCGGCAATGATTATTGAATATCAAAAACTTGTATATCTCCGATATGTCAACTTAATTGGGTATGCTAGGCATAACAGACGCTGTAATCTATGGTTATACCAATGACGATTGGAAGTACAAAGAAATTTGTACGCATAATACGACCCATGGAGCACCAATTAGGAAGAACCACTTGCAAATCCTGAGTATGGCGTTTATCTGTTGTGATGGTGGGACTAATGAAGGAATGCAAACCGTACGATCAGTGCAAACATACAATAAGACTATATAAGGGTAATCTCCTATATATATAGAGTAGGACTATTGTATAGTCACACTAATTAAATACAAACACATGTACATAAATACAAATAAATACTATATAGACAATTAAGTTCTTCTGAAAAACATTAATGCAGCTGCCACTTTACTAAAAAGATACATCCATTGTAGTTAGTAAGGGGAATGAGGTATGGAGGTGGGCGGTAAAGCCTCTATATGCGAAGGACCAAGATAATGACAGTCAGACCAAACGTACATGGCAGACTATAGAATTCTTTGCAGCTGTGAGAACCGAGCTTAAAACAGCAAGTGACCCTTCAGAAGAACTTTCATCCAAGTATCATCAATATCATTAGACCCCTATGACTTGGAAATATGCTATAACAAATTTCTTGTCTATTACAAACTTCCTCTACTAAGAGAACCACAAACTATTAACTCC